ACCAAAGAACATTTTTGTTAAAAAAAAAAAAAATATTCTCTTTAGAAAAATAAATAGTGGGCAAAATCTTTTGTTCCTAAAGGTAACCGTTTAGAATTGCTGCGACTGCTTCATGTTAAACAATGCCTCGTTAGTGTTGATAAAACTTTCGGTTAACTCAGCAATTATTTTTTTTAGTTTTGTCTCTTAGAAATGACAAAATTAGTGACAAAACTACTGCGACCAATGTTCAAAATATGTTATTACTAGTAAAACCTATTTTAAACACTTTACGATGATTGCATAGGTTCCTTTTCGATATCCAATGATTATTTTAAACATTTGCTATTTTTTTAATAGAAATTACGAAATTTCTTATTTTTGATACCCCTTAGAGGTATAAAGGCACTGATTTAAATTTATTATGAATTAGTTGGTTAGTCAGAATAGCCGAACTTTTATTTTAAAACTACGAACAAAAATAAAATAGTACTGTCAAAAAAACTACGGGTTTTTTCTTATTTATTGTTTTGACCGGCCTGATATTAAAATCTTTACTGAAAATGTATTCAATATCTCGGCGATCCTAAATTTTTTTTTAAAACGATTGAAAATTGACCATCGTGTTAGAAAGGAGGCTGTTTATGCGAAAAAGACAAAAAGGCCTAATAAAGTAATAAATTTTGGACGTATTGTATTTCACTTATCGGGGAATAGTCATATGGCAAAACTTGAATAGATAAGAAAGTCTATTTGAGGTAATAAAACTATTGCTAAATGGAAGGTTCGAGTTAAAAAAAAAAACTATGTACAAACAGAAAATGCACCGTTGCCAAAGACATGATTAGAATTTGAACCAGCAAATTTAATTTTAAAGTTAATATAATGAGGTACAAAATTGTTTAATTATTGCAATCGTACAAGCGATTGTAAATAATTTATTAAATGTAATTTTTCATTTTAATATTTTTATAAAAAAAAAAAAAAACCTGCGATATGATAAAAACATCGATGTGCTTTGCAATGGTAATTTGTTGAAAGCTCAAATTATAAAAAAAAAATCTGCGATATGATAAAAACATCGATGTGCTTTGCAATGGTAATTTGTTGAAAGCTCAAATTATAAAAAAAAAATCTGCGATATGATAAAAACATCGATGTGCTTTGCAATGGTAATTTGTTGAAAGCTCCTATTATAGAAAAAAAATCTGCGAAATCTGCGACGAAATACGTGACAAAATCTGCGATGTATACGAAATTTGCGAAATTTTAGAAATTTGTAAAATCTTCGAAATCTGTGAAATACGTTAAATTTGCGAAATTTGCAAAATTTGCAAAATTTGCGAAGTTTGTGAAAGTTGCGAAATATGCGAATTCTGCGAAATTTGCGAAATTTGCAAAATTTGCGAAATCTAAGAACTCTGCGAAATTTATGAAATCTGCGAAATATTTAAAATTTGTGAAATTTCTGAAATCTGCGAAAACTGAAAACTGCGAAATATGTGAAATTTGCAAAATTTGTGAAATTAGCAAAATCTGCGAAAACTGCGAAATTTGTAAAATTTTAAACATTTGTAAAATCTTGCGAAATATTCGAAATTTGTGAATTTTGCGAAATTTGCCAAATTTGGGAAATCTACGTAATCTGTAATATTTGCAAAATCTGCAAAATCTGCAAAATCTGCAAAATCTGCAAAATCTGCAAAATCTGCAAAATCTGCAAAATCTGCAAAATCTGCAAAATCTGCAAAATCTGCAAAATCTGCAAAATCTGCGAAATATGCGATGTACCTATAGGAAATTTTTGACATTTGTAAAATCTGCGAAATTTGCGAAAACTGCGAAATCTTTTAAATTTGCGAGAAATTAGCGAAATTTACGAAAACTGCGAAATTTGTAACATTTGTAAATTTGTTAAATTTGCGAAATCTACGAAATTTACGAAATCTACGAAATCAACGAAATCAACGAAATCAACGAAATCTACGAAATCTGTAAAATCTGCGAAATCTAAGAAATCTGCGAAATCTAAGAAATCTGCGATATGATAGAAACAACGATGCGTTTTGTAATAGTAATTTGTTGAAAACCGATTCTATGATTATAGTTTATTTTTGGTGAGAAAGCTACAAAATCTTTGATATAATAAAAATGATTTCATAATTGACGCTTTACAAACAGACAAACATGGTTTGTTGTTATTATAATGCCATACGTAATATGTTATTTTTGTGTGGAAATGTTAAAGGATAAAAAAAAAACCGCTATGTTCACCGTCTTAAATTTGTTTATTAATTTAGCACCGAATAGATTTACTGTCCACGAGTGCTTATTTGTCATCAGAAACTTTTTACTAATTTTGAATTTTTTTGTAAATTTCGAAGAGGTTCTGTTTCCGTTTTTCTTTTTGTTGCAGGAAAAAAGCGTAAAGGTTTCTTAATTAATTCGAGAACGAAATAATGGTCAGGTTGGCCGTGTAAGAATTTAAAATTCGAAAGCGTTGGATCGATGGTATTTAGTCGAAACATATGGACCGGACGAAGTACCTGTCTCTCAACGAAGTGACGACGAAGGCATTAAAATGTGTTATTTATTACCCTAAGACTCATATTTGTTATTTTAGTATTATGTATTGAGTTCCTAGGGCAATCTGGCCTAAGAAATAAGGGGACACATATAGTTCGGCTGTCTCAACGGAATGTCGAATTTACTTGTATTGTATTTAATTTTGGAAATAGATTAATTTGATGAAAATATCGTGTTTTCTTACATACACATACCAGTCACTTGATCTTTACTAGTCAACCTCTGTAAGATAAAATATTTTGTTATGTAATTAAAAACGAAATATCTACCAATAATTTATTTTTCGAGAAATATTTTCATCCCATAGACAGACCAATTAAAGAAATTATCAAAAACATATACCTTTTCTTTTTTGCGACTAATTTTATAGATCATATATATAACATATTTTTTTAACCACTGTGTATATTCGTCGAATGCCAAAAGATGTTACAATAAAATTAGCCACAAAAAATTGAAATTGATTAGCTTTTTCCTGGAATAACAGGTAAAAAAAGTGGGTACTTGTTAAGTCAAATCCTTTATCTCAAAAACCTATCATATCACCATTAAAGGACTAAAAGAACAGGGTGATTTATCAAATTTTGTTGATCCACTATTAATCTATACATTAAATCAAAAAATTGGATAGTTCTACATATGTTAATATTATAAAAAATATAAAAAGTTTCACATTCATTAAAAAATCGAACCACTCTGTATAAATGGTACCCAATATCTTTTGTCTTATCATTAACATTGATAAATATAGCAATAAATGATATTTTGTACATATTTTTAACTTCTAAAATAATGAAAGTAATTATCAAAAAAACTTGTCCTTACTTATTTACGATTCACCCTGTAGAGACAAATATTTTTGAACTCCTATGTACATTCGTTGAGTGTCAAATGATGTTAAAATAATAGTAGACACACAAAATTTTAATTGATTAGCTTTTTCCTGTAGTAACTGGTAATAAAAAAAGGGTAATTTTCTAAGTTTAACCAATCAGAAAAAGCTATAATTTTGAAAAATATATTCGACAAGATAATTGATACGCCAGTGAAAAAAATATTGTCTACTTTTAAAGGACTAATCAAAAAGTATAAGGTTCTTAAAAAATTGTTTTTTTTTGACACATTCGATAAATTTACTATCAATATATTTATCAAATCACCCTGTAGTTAATAAATTGGATAATTATACGTATGGTAAATACACAAAAGTCCCGTAAACATACTGTGTTTCACATTAATACTTAATTAATAAAAAAAACATATTGGCCTATGTCGATATTTACGAATCACCCTGTATAAATAGCACCTATGTATTATCATCAGACATGATAAATATAGCAATAATTTATTTCTTAGTAAATGTTTTTACCTTCTAGAAGAATAAAAGTAATTATCAAAAACACATCCTTACTTATTTGTAGCTCACCCTGTAAAGGAAAATAATTATTGACCTCTTTTTATATTCGTAGAATGCAAAAAGATGTTACAATAAGATTTGGCGTAAAAAATTGTAATCGATTAGCTTTTTCCTGAAATAACCGTTATCAAATAAGTGGTATTTCTTAAGTTTAACACCCTGTATCTCAAAAACCAATCATAGAAAAAAGCTATAATTTTAGAAAATATCTGCTACAGGACGGATGATACGCCAGTGAAAAAATATGTATACTTTTACAGGACTAATCAAAAAGTATGGGGTGCTTAAAAAAAATTGTTTTTTTGACACATTCGATAAATTAACTATCAATATATTTATTAAATCATCCTGTAGTTAACGAATTGGATAGTTATTCATATGGTACATAAACAAAAGTCCCGTAAAAATTCTGCGTTTCACATTAATACTTATAAAAAAATATATTGGCCTATGTCGATATTTACGAATCACCCTGTATAAATGGCACCTAATATCTTTTGTATTATCATTAGATATGGTAAATATAGCAACAATTTATTTTTTAGTAAATATTTTCACCTTCTAGAACAAAAGTATTTATCAAAAACATGTCCTTACTTATTTGCGGCCCACCCTGTAAAGAAAAATAATTTTTGATCCCTTTTTATATTCCTAGAATGCCAAAAGATGTTACAATAAGATTTTGCACAAAAAATTATAATTGATTAGCTTTCTCCTGAAATAACCGTTATCAAATAAGTGGTATTTCTTAAGTTTAACACTCTGTATTTCAAAAACCAGTCATAGAATTTGAATGATCCCATGGACACTTTAAAATTTAATCATGTTAAGTATTATTTTCTTATGTTCTGTATATTAATTAAAATTAACAGAATTTACTGTAGAATAGAATAGAATGCATTCTTATTTATCTTTTTATTAATGATCTATTATTTCTAGGCCTTTTAAAAGAAGATATTCATCAGTTTGAGAGTTCAAAAGATTTACTTGTTTTTCAAATTTGTGCAAAGGTAGGTACCTTATAATCCTATAGGACGTGATATTCCAGCGATGTGATGTCTCAGCTTATTCTTAAATTATTATTGTTGAAACAATATAATTCAGCACTTGAAGTTTTAAGCGGCGATTTTCAAAAATTCGACAACAGATTTTCTACTGCCATCACAGCTCCAATGTCAAGAAGAAAAATAACAGGTAATACAGGAATCTTCCTTATCGACTTTACGATAACACTATTTTAATGTTTACTGTACAACGGATAATGAGAGACTGTCTTCTATTTTCGCGGAAATTGCTTTTAATAAAGTTTGATGTCACAGCCTACTTAGACGTGAATTTCACTGATTTTTCCGTCAAAATCCATGTACGAGGATGATTTATTATTTTTTTATAAATGTTTTTTTACTCTATTTTAGTCATTTTCACTAAATAGTTTTAATTGTAACAATTATAATTTACATTATTTACAAAGATTACCTAGCTTTTTTTTAAATTAAGGCTTTTATATACAAATTTTTGTAAAATATTTCATAAAATTATTGCCTACAAATTACTTTATTTTTTAATTTTTTTTAAATATATTTAGTTATTTTGAGATTCTAAATATTTGGAGACTCTTCTACAAACCATATTTAATATTATGTATGCATTAAACCTCATCTACATGTTTTAAAATTAAATATTTTTTTAGGATCGGAGGTAGAGTCTGTACTGACATCTTAATTTGTATCCAGCTATTAGGATTGGACTTCCCAAAGTGTGGATTATGTCAGTAACTAATCACAAGACTCCATTCTAAAAGTTTCCAGCAAAATTTTTCTCAAAAAAACTTTGTTAATGATATAAAATCGCATGTGAAGTCAAATTTGCTATGTTGATACTCCAAATCTGTATTATTATTTCGTATTAATTTACAATTCATCTTATAAAGTTATTGTGCTTTCTTAGCTTAAAATTAGATCTTTCTAACATTATTTATACAAGGTTTTTATGAATAAATTATTGGAATTATTAATTAAAAATCTCAATTTATGTTAAAATTAATTGTACAGGATGATACAAAATGTACATAATAAATTCTAACACCCCCACTTTGTCATTTTGAAATTTCCTTTAGTCCTATCCTGTCTTGATTTATTTTTAATTTTTCTCCAACTAATCCTTTGGTAAAATAATCAACCAGCATGTCCTTCGTTTCAATCACTTTGACTCCTGTTTCACCAAGTTCTTGTCTCTCTCTGGCGAAGTGGTGCTTTATGTCGATGTGCTTGAATTTGGGGCGACAAGCGTTATTTTTGCTCGAATCAATAGCTCCTTTGTTGTCACTGAATGTGGGTACCTTTTCTGGTGCTTTCTCTTCCAGCTCTCCTAGCACATTTTTTAGGAATATTGCTTCTTGAGTTGCTAGGCTCAAAGCCATATATTCCGCTTTCGTGGTGGATAGAGCAACCGTTGGTTGCCTTTTTGATGCCCAGCTAATAGCTGCATCGATGAGGATGAAAACGTACCATGAAGTGGACTTTCTATCTTCAGGATCTCCGGCCCAGTCTGAGTCCGCATATCCTTCCAAATCTTTATTGGATCTTTTGAATGTGAATCTTAGATTAGACGTCTGTTTCAGGTACCTCATTAGGCGTTTTACAGCTGACCAGTGAGGTCTACCTGGATTGTTACTAAATCTAGCTAAAACCCCCACTGCAAAGCTAATATCTGGTCTATTGCACTGTGCAGCATACATTATACTCCCAATGGCCTCTTGGTAAGGTACTTTAGACATTTCTTCGGCATCTTCCTTGGCATTAGGCTGCATTTCTTTGGTAAGAATCTGATTCGGATCTAAAGGACTTTTGATACCATTACATTCGCCCATGTTGAATCTGGAAAGCACTTCTTCTATGTACTTTTCCTGATCAAGTGCTATAATACCGTCTTTTTTATTGCGGGTGATTCTCATACCTAAGCAGTAATGAGCCTCTCCAAGGTCCTTCATGTTGAAACTTTTCTTTAGCTCTTCCTGTAGATGTCCCTTCTGTTTTCTGTCTTCTAAGAAAATAAGTAGAGTATATACAGTGTGTTTCAAAAAGGTATGTCATAAATTATACCACGTATTCTTGGGTCAAAAATAGAACGATTAAACCGACTTACCTATATACAAAAGTGCACCCAAAAATAGTTAAGGTAAAAATTTAAATGAATTTTTTTAACATTGCTCTTAAACCGTTTGACATTTTTTCATGAAATTTTATATGATGTGTTGGAATACCATGACTAACAAAATCGAAGTAGAGACAAAATATTTTTTTTTATTTTTGTAGGATTTTGGAGGGTGTCACCGCCCCTTTCTCTATTCAACTTTTTTGTAGTATAAAATTTAATTACAAATGAAACGCCACTGGAATCCAACATCCATTTGGAAACTTTTTTGTCTCTTAGTATTTGTTTGTAAAAAGTTTAGTTTAGACGATACAGCCATTTGAAATGACAACTTAAAAATGTTCAATGGAAATTCTACGTATGAAAAATATCAAAATCAAGTTTATTTTTAAATTACAAACTAATTTCATCAAAATAAAAACATTTAACAGGTGTTCAAAATTACATTCTCCTCCTGTATACACTTACTACATAGTTTTAACAATGAATATCGTATTTTGATATTTTTGCATACGTATAATTTACATTGAATATGCCATTTTAAGTGGCTGTATCGTCTAAACCAAACATTTTACAAACAAATACTAAGAGACAAAAAAGTTTCCAAATAGATGTTGCATTTCAGTAGCGTTCGATTTTTAATAAAATTTTATATTACAAAAAAGTTGAATAGAGAAAGGGGCGGTGACACCCTCCAAAATCCTACAAAAATAAAAAAAATATTTTGCCTCTACTTCGATTTTGTTAGTCATGGTATTCCAACACGTCATATAAAATTTCATGAAAATATGTCAAACGGTTTAAGAGCAATGTTAAAAAAATTCATTTAAATTTTTATCTTATACACCCTGTAACTATTTTTGGGTGCACTTTTGTATATAGGTAAGTACGGTTTAATCGTTCTATTTTTGACCCAAGAATACGTGGTATAATTTATGACATACCTTTTTGAAACACCCTGTATATACAGCTATGATTAACATTTTATTATCTAATTTTCTAAAATATATACATGAGTAAACCGTACAAAGCCTTGAGTAGTCTGCACGTTTTGCCATCTGGTAGCTCCATATAGATTTCTTCGTCGAGTTTTGGATGTAAAAAGGCTGTGACTACATCCATCTGACCGATATCCCAATCATATTTCACTGATGCTAACAGGAGTCGTATTGAACTGTATCTCACTACAGGCGAAAAGGTTTCTTCAAAATCTAGGTTTGGTATTTGGGAGTATCCTTTACTTACTAACCTTGCTCTATATAGTTCAATTTCTCCATCTACTGTTAGTTTAGTTCTGAATGTCCATTTACTCTTAATAGCTCTTTTGTTTGATGGTAGGCTACAGAGTTTCCAAGTTTGGTTCTTAAAATGTGCGCTCATTTCTTCCTCCATAGCCACTTTCCACTCCTCTGCGTGTTCATTTTCAAAAGCTTTATTTACATTTTTCGGATCTGACCTTAGATTATACAAACCTTAAATGGAACATATGTTATGTTATGTTGAGAATGGGGTGTTAATACACTGCGACCTAAAAGATTTATTGTGTCCCCTTCTGTCGCCACTGCACTAAGGAAATGTCTCAATACCTATAGCAACCCTTCCAATCCTATTTTCTCAAGGAAGTGTAGGATTTCAAGTGGCTTCAAGTTAGGTAAATCTCCCTCTTCTATTTGATATCCTTCTAGATATAGTGCTCTTGGATTCTGGAGTGCTACACATTCAGTTAGGATGTGAATGGAGGTTTCGTCCTCCTCCTCACAATCTGCACTCACTATCCTCTACTACTCTCAGTTTACTTAGGTGTCCTTTTATTCGGCAATGCCCGGTATGGATCCTTGTTACAATACGTAGCCTGTTCTTGCTCAGGCAGATGCAGGCTTCCGATCTTTTCTGGTTATATTCACCCAGACGTATCTTGGCCTGTCTCAGCCCCAAGAGATTGTTCCAATTATCGGTTCTTCTACTACCCATTTTTTTTTTAATCTCTCCTAATATTATGTTACTGCTGATACCGCAGAACGGCCCAGGTCCTACAAAGGGTGTTAGAGCCCCTTTCCTTGCAATCTCGTTACCCTGTACCCCGTTATCTCCCGGGACCCAAATGACAGTAACTCTATTTTTCTCGTCTAGCTAATTCAATTGTTCTAGGCATCTCCAGACCATTTTTGAGCTGATTATGTAAGAGCTCAGCACTTTGATGGCTGCTTGACTATCGGACATGATGATAGTCTATGATAGTTTCTCTCGATGTTAAACTGGATACACTTCTCGATGGCGTGAATTTCCGCCTGGAAGATGCTTGGGTATTTTCCCAAGCTTTCGGAGTGTTTGGTTCTAGGCCCATAGACTCCTATTCCAGTTCCTTCTATGGTTTTGGAACCGCCCGTATACCACTGAATAGCACGTCTTTCGGTTGCAAGCGCGATGGATTCTTGGCTCCATTCTTTCTTGCAGCCCAGCTCTGTGGTTTTGAAGTTTTTCACAAAACTGTACTTCTTTTGCATTTCATCCTGGGGCATGTCCCAGGTATCTTTAGTCCTGAAGCAAGTAGACTTTCGTCTGATTATTCCGATGGAACATAAGATACTGCGCATAATCCCATTTCGAAATTATTCACACCCACCAATCACAGTTGAGAACATCACATGTCAGAGCTTCGTCCATCCAAATTTAATGTGTCAACGAGAATTAATTTGGTATTTTAGTGACTTAAATTTTGGAAATTAACGTTGAAAATGCCAATATGTGTTGTAAAAAGCTTTATTTATAATAAAAGTGCGAAAAGTGTTATTAACCGACTTCAAAAAAGGAGGAGGTTCTAAATTCGTCGCGATATTTTTTTTGTATGTTCAGCGATAATTCTTTAACACGGTGTCCGATTTCAATGATTCTTTTTTCTTAGAAAGGGGTACTTCAGGGGTGGTCCTATATATATTTGGTCTAAATCTAATAATTGGGTCCATGAGAAAATCCTTAAACTCTTCATTTTTTATGTATGTTTAGCGATAATGCTTTACCACCTTGTGCGATTTATATGATTCTTTTTCTGTTAGTAAGGGGGTACCTCAGGGGTGGTCCCATATAAATTTGGCACGTTTTTGAAGTCGGTTTTTTAAATTTTTAATTTCTAACACTTGTTTAATTTTTAAAGATTCGTCGAAGACCATATTTGTTGATTTGAAAATAAACAGAATCGGACTTGGTCATTGGTACATGT